GGGGGTTAGTGGGAATTCGGGGGATCGCGGGGTGTGGGGGGAGAGGGACATCGGGGGCTCGTGGGGGGGTTAGTGGGTAGTCGGGGGATCGTGGGAGGTGGGGGAATTCATGGGCTCATGGGGGGGTAGCGGAGGAGGGGGACATCGGGGGCTCGTGGGGGGGTTAGTGGGGGAGGAGGACGTCAGAGGCTCGTGGGGGGGTAGCGGGGGAGGCGGATTTGTGGGGTAGCTGGGTGGCGGGGGAGGGGAATGGCCCCCCTCTTTCCGGGGCTCACCCCACCCCTGCTGTCTCCCCTCCAGAGTGGCCCCTCCCCGGGCAGGGCAGCGTGGCCAGCAGCCCCCAGAGCCAGACCTCGTCCTCCGGCTTCCAGGCCCTGCCGCCCTATGACGCCTGGAACGGCCCCTTGGGGGGCGCCCCCCCCCGCCGGCCCCCCAGCCCCGACTCGGCCACTTCCGGCTTCTCCAGCTCCCTCTTCTCCACGGCCTCCGGCTCGGGCAGCTCGGGCCAGCGGGAGCGTGGGGGGCTGCTGTCGCCCAGCGGTGAGTGGGGGTGGGCGGGCTGGGGGGGAACCAGGGGGCCGGGGGGGGGTCTGAACCAGGGAAACGAGGCCTCACCCCCCTTATCCCCCCAGCTCCGTTCAGCGCCTCCGAGTTCCTGGTGAATCCCCTGGACCCCCAAAACGCCGACCGCATCCGAGTGAAGATCGCGGACCTGGGCAACGCCTGCTGGGTGGTGAGGGGGGTCGCGATATGGGGAAGGGGGCTGGGATCTATGGGTCACGGGGGGCTGGGTTTTGTGGGGTGAGGTCTAAGGGGTGGGGTGGGGGTTCTAGGATCTATGGGTCGCAGGGGGCTGGGTTCTGTGGGATGGGGGTTCTGGGATTTATGGGTCGCGGGGGACTGGGTTCTGTGGGGTGGGGGTTCTGTGGGGCGGGAATCTATGGGTCGCGGGGGCTGGGATCTGTGGGGTAGGGGTTCTGGGCTCTATGGGTCGTGGGGGGCTGGGTTCTGTGGGGTGGGGGTCTAAGGGGTGGGGGTTCTGTGGGGCGGGAATCTATGGGTCGCGGGGGCTGGGTTCTGTGGGGTGGGGGTTCTGGGTTCTGTGGGTCGTGGGGGGCTGGGTTCTGGGGGTCGCTCTCCCTGCCCTGTTCTCACCCCCCCCCGTTTCAGCACAAGCACTTCACCGAGGACATTCAGACCCGGCAGTACCGCGCCCTGGAGGTTCTGATCGGCGCCGGCTACAGCACCCCCGCCGACATCTGGAGCACAGCCTGCATGGTATGCCCCCCCCCCGACCCCCCCCAGCCGGGCCTGGCCCCCCTGACCCCCCCCAGCCGGGCCCGGCCCCCCCTGACCCCCCCAGCCCGAGCCGACCCTGACCCCCCCTCTGCTCCCCACAGGCTTTCGAGCTGGCGACAGGCGACTACCTCTTTGAGCCCCACTCGGGGGACGAGTACAGCAGGGATGAAGGTGGGTTGCACCCAGATACCGGGGTAGATGGGCCTGGGGGGCAGCAGGGGGGCGGAGCTGTGATGGGGGATAGGATGGGGGGACAGTGGGGGGGCAGAGCTGGGAGGCGGAGCTCTGATGGGGGATAGGATGGGGGCAGCAGGGGGGCAGAGCTGTGATGGGGGATAGGATGGGGGACAGGAGCTGTGAGTGGGGGGGCAGGCGAGGGGG